ATCACAATTTTTATTATGAAATACGGCAATAATTTTGCTCTGGCAACGTTCATCTAGCCGCCATCTTAGGATGCCATCGTATGCCTTACTGTAAAATTTTAATGTAACCTAAAAACATTTGCCTTTCATTCTTATATTTGCTTCATCAAACGATATAATGAAAATTCAAGTTTAGAAGACAGAAAAATTAGTGATCGCCCGCGCACTGCTACGATTCCAGCGGCGACAAAAGCTATGAAGGCGGGGATCCAACGAAATCCCATGCCTAAGCAGTAACTGTTGATAATTCAGGTTGGGTTAAGCAGAACCCAGTGAAAAGAATGTGCAATGAAGACTTGGGTGTGCTTTATGCAGTGTATCAAAATATAGTCTTCACACACCTTCCTATTTCCTCTTCTTTCTCATTCAATAACAAACACCTGCTATTGCAGAAAGATTCTGCGCCATCTAATAGACCTAAAAGCAACCTAAATCTGGTTGGCGCTGCGTGAATTTGACTGGACTTAAGTCCGTTGGATTATAAAATATGGCAACACTTGAAGAAAAAGTCCTACTAAAAGCCTCATCCTGATTTGGTGTCACTTGAGGCATCCTTGACCAAAGCAGCCGCCATTATTGATATGGAACTCGTTCGTGCTTCTATAGACGACTGGCCGCGCAAGTTAGCATCATAATAAAAATAGCGGGGATCATTTTCAACAACTTTAATTAGGATAACAATAGATTCTGTAAACGTAAATGTTTCAGTAAGTTTCTTTTGATACATATTACTAACAGAGTTAAAATAAACATGTGTTAATTATCATACAGATAAATAAAATTGGAGTGTCTCTTTGTAATATTAAAATAACCGCTTTTTACTAAATGCATACACGGTACATATACCAAAATAATATTTTTTACAATTTTTGTCTGTCTGTCTGTTTGTTCCGGCTAATCCGGGACTTTCACTAGCAGATAGCTGATGCAATAAGGAGTAACTTAGGCTAATTTAATTTTAGATTTTTTTTTATTTTTAATTCCACGCGGATGAAGTCGCGCGCACAGCTAGTTTCACAATAAACATGTGACAGAAATTAAGACCCGATTAGATATTTTCGTTGTGGACATTTCCTGTACTTTGTTATGTAATTAATAAGTCAATAAGTTATTTATTTAAGAATATTGTTAACTCTTCTTATTTTCCTCATAGTAATCACATACTTGTATTTAAGTTTGCCTACGCTTGATTAAATGAAACAATTTTTCACAGATTATGCGCGTTTACTTTAAACATTTCCATAAGCAAGAGATACTTGCCTTTCGTTTCGAACACTTCATGTTTTTGGTCGTGATGGTCTAGCTAGAGTTTAAGTTTAAAATAAAAACGTTAAAATCCGTAAAAATATTTTCACTTACGCACCTTAATTTCCTTTTTAATCTTTCATGAATGAAACTTTTTGGTTAAAATAATACAAACGTCACTATTTTAGATTTTGATAGAATTTTGCGTTACATTAATAGATTGCCACGAGATGTCATACGAAGTAGTTCTAAAATCGGGGTTTGGAAGTCAACATTTTTAATAAAACACAAGTACTTATTTATTGTATTGTTATATTTACAATTTAATTGTTATTATAGAACAGTGTACAAATTTCCAATAAATTGTTCGATAATAATTTTTTATTCGTCTTAATTTTTACATATACTTTTTAGTTAATATGATATGGCATTAACATATTGTTTACATATTATAATTGCATTATATCCATATTTATTGCTACATTGTATTACCAAAAATTATGAAAAAAAATTGAAGAAATATATTTAAATAGGCCAACAGATTTTTATTAAAAAAAACCTTAATAAATTAATTTAGTGATCAGTCCTTGTTTAAAATTTGTGGCAAAAATGGCGGGAAAGTGAAGCGGCGTGGCAAATTGTTGACTGTAAATGACATTTATAACTGAAATGTCAAAGGGAGTAACTTTCTTATTTCATTTTATTTTAAATTTATTTTTTTAAATAAGGTTCAGACGACACTGGTTTAGCGACTAGCAAAGATCTTTGTCGATTTTTATATCTTTTGAGACATCGTTGGGCTGAGACTGAGAATGCGTGAACGTTTCCCCCCACATTTACTAATTAACTATTCCTTTTCACTAAAATTGTTTGCCGGTACACTAGAGGGCAGTGTAGTTTTTATGAATATGTTTAAGTATCGAATGCGAAGTGTTCGACTTAGTAACGTTAAAAATAACATCCAAGCTGTAATTATAATAAGCTTACGCAATAAAGAACACAATTCCTTAGGCTCAACAATTCCTTGTGTTTCGCACTCGTGTGTAAAGGCCTTTTTACTAAATAGCTGATAAAAAAAGTGAGACCAGAAGTCAGCCCTAAATATAGTATGAGCATTGAGTCCTTCTTTAGAAGTTTTAAACTTGCCCTGTCAATATCGATAATAGATATGTCATCAAATTGCTTCTTATTTGTTTAAATTGATTCTGAATACGATATTATACATGGAACTTTTTTTTTTATTATAAAGATCTAAACATCCTAGTCCAGGCAAATACATTATTAGTTAAACTTGTAAAAAGATATGCAGCAATTTTAAGAGATGAAGAACGAAAAAACGACACCTCGAAAAAACATTTTATAATTTTTTTTGACAATTCAAGAGCCTTCTCCAAATGGTAAGAAATTAAGGAGCAGGGGTTTTGAGTAGATTAATAATGCATTAAAATATAAAAACTTAAAATATAAAAAGTAAAAGAAATTTTACGATTACCTTTAAACAGATTTTTACAACATTAGACTTCTACAATACTATTAAGTTATAACTATGTTTCTTATTAGTGATAGTTATAACTATGTTTCTTATTAGTTCTGAAATGATGATGATGGTGAGGTCTCACCATCATCATCATTTCAGCATGTTCTAGTCCACTGCTGAACATAGGCCTCCCCCACAGAGCGCCAAGAGGCACGGTCCTGAGCCACCTGCATCCATCGACTTCCCGCACATTTGCGCAGGTCGTCACTCCACCTAGTGGGGGGTCGTCCCACACAGCGCTGGTCATTTCGATTTGAAGATGTCACTCGAAATCCTTTCTTCCCCATCAATTATCGGTTTTATGAGCTATATGGGCGGTCCATTGCCTCTTAATCCTAATAGATACACTTAATTTGAGTAATTGCACTAACTAATTCAGATAGCATGAAGCACGTATAGATAACGAATTATTTTAGACTGAAAACTTGAATGTTTATTGTGTTGCATTCAATGATATTTTATACTTCAGATATGTTGTTAACGCGCCCGAAGTGACGCCACATAAATGTTTTCTTCGTTTACGTTGGGCAGGGCGGCGAGTAAGACGCGGTATAAAACTTTACAATAATTAAATTGCCGTCGTTTGCCTTTAAAATATGTACCAAGTGCGATTCTAAAGTTATCAATGTTGACAAAGTTTCAATCCAGGATAATATTTTCTTATTAATATCAAGATATTGACAAGAAAATATTATGCAACAACATGAAGATGTTGCAAAATTTCATGAAAAATCATTTTTTTTTTAAAAAATTATTAAAAATATTCTGTCCAAGACTTTTTTAGGCAACCTAGTTTTAATATATTTTCTAACATACTAAATTTATTATAAAATAAATTTTATTCTATTATCAGTTCGGTGAAGGTCGATTTAGATTCGGATCTTAGACCATTATATTTAATTTTATGTTGGTAAGAAAGCAAAGAGAGGCAACAAATAAGTTTCATACGGGGACGAGAAAGACGGATTCAACTCGAGATTTGTTCAGACTTACGCTGAAGTGTCAAACACTTGCCGTCCTCTTTCTTCCTATTGCTTTAATTACGCTATCCTTTTTATAACATTTGAACGGAACGTGTGAATGTGTGCTGTTACTTTGTCTGGAAATAGGAGCAATTTCGAACGGTAATTTTGTTAGCACAGATAACTAATATAGATATTGTATGAAATATCATTGTTTACAATGTCCAATCAGTCGTGATCATACATAATTTTAAATTGTTTTTAGATTTTAACGACTTAAATTCACTAAACAGTTTTTAACTAAGCCAAGTAAAAAAAGATGAAATCTATTTTATTTAATTTTGAACCATTGTTACAACAATGAAATTTGTGAACTCTCAATGTTTACGTGCTCTCTTTCACACGGTAACGAAAATGTTGCCCGCAAACAAAAACTTATTTATTACTTATACAAATTGTAAAAAAGTAAAAATGAAATACTTACTATTAAATTGCTCTTATATAATGCAGATATAGTTGTCGTAAATATTTTTACTTATACCATTAAAGGGTAGACGGTCCTCTATATATTTTTTATTTAATAAAACTTGCAATAGGCTACCTGCCCAGTAGTCAACGCAGCCGTGGTCTGTATACGCACTGGCACATTGACTGTACTGTATCGTAACAGAAAAGCTGTCAGCAATTGCGCGAACACATTCAGATCGGATATGTGATAGGGAATCTGTCGTTCCAGCTATATTTTTTTACGACCAGGCTTAGTCTTATTTATGCGATATAAAACTCGTGGTTATTCATTTGCTTTGAAGTTATTCGAAAACTTCTTGTTATTAAGACGAAAGAGAGAGCATTTAACTTTTTTATTACGCGATCTTTTCGATTCATGCCACAGCTACTCTACTACCTTACTTTTAACTGTGGATTGTAACGCAGCGTACTATTTATTTAGGACACAAATATTCAAAGCCTCTTATCATCGCGAAATGTTGGATAGACAAAAAGCTCGCTGCCTGCCCTGACTATTTAAATTTAGAACGGCTAACTCTGAAAGAAAAGCGAACTGGCAACATAAACCAAATATTAAATTTGTAATGATTGGCTCTTGACAACAACAGAAACAGACAGCTAGCGCTATTCTAACGACAGACTCCCCTGATCAGAAAGGGACAGGTATTGCTGCACCTAAAATACGTTTAACGAGTTGACGATCTCTGTTAGCTCCGGAGCGACTGGGCGAGTGCCGCCAGTGTGAGTGAGCCTAGGAAGAGAAGAAGAGATGCAGCCGAGGATCTGCGTGAGGAATTGCAGGCGTCCGCGTCGTTGCAGCTCTGCAGGCAGCCATGGACGTAGCTGGGAGGAGGGAGAAGATTTAGTTCTGACGCTTTGGTCAATAGACTCTTTTGACAAACACTTATTGTAGCTCCGTTGCACGATACTATGCTTGTGGTGAGAGCCAAGCCACCTATGGCAGGGTCACGCAGTGCTTCTGCTAGACTGGCTCGTTCGGGGAAACACCACGACCTCACAGAATATCGGCTTAAGTGGAAATATTATACTTTTGCGTTTCATCCGGTGAGTGAAGTAGCCGGGGTCCTCTTTTTTAATGTGTAGCGAGGCATCTGAGAACCAACAGATATCCTTGGGTAACCAATTAAAACCAGGTGATCCGCCTGCTCGCTTGGCAACTATTACCACATAACATACAAAATAAGACCCACGCTCCTGGGGCTCCACGGCAGTAGAACTATTTTAAAGTAGCTGCTGCCCGCGACTACGTCTGCATAGGATAGGATGAAAGCGTAACATTCAGACAGAAAGATATACATAAACATAGGCTATATTATTGTAAAGTTTCTTTAAAATCCGTTCAGTAGTATTTGCGTGAAAGAGTAACAAACATACATCCTTACATATAAACTTTCGCGTTTATAACATTAGCAAGGATAAGGATAAGACTTGACCGTATAACTCACCGATCGTTGTAGTAGAACCGCCCGCAGTGGGACATTCGTATGATCTCGGTGTCCGTGGTCGCGGTGCCGGAGTCCAGGCCGCAGCCCCGCACCGTTATGCTCTCCCCCGTGTCGTCTGGAACCAGTCAATAACGAACCCTCCCAGTGCATTGTTCACTCCGCATCCGTCCATCTTGAGATGTGACGGGAGATAAAGTTACTTGCGGGTAATCCCCGCCACTTTACCGCAAAAGTAAAGTATCAGCCTATACATGTCCCACTGCTGGTTAAAGACCTCTGTACAAATGGCGGCCTGCACATATCTCCGAAGTATTTCTTTTTTTGTTATTATTTCGAAAATATGCAGGTTTCCTCACGATGTCTTCCTTCACCGAAGAAGCACGAAGCCCGTGCCGAATTATCACCGAGAACGTGATAATTCGCGGCTTAATATTAACAATTTCATTGGTGCCGGCACCGAGGATCACCGGCACCGCCGTATGCAACTGAATATAGACCTGGCCGCAGAGAGCCACGCACTCACCGAAGACTCCTGCTATCTTTATGCAGGACGTGGCAGGGAACAGGCCGTCCCTCCCCTTCCTGCCGCCCATGCAGGGCGACTCCAGCATCTGCAGCGAGTGGTTGTTGTGGAAGGGGTCGTCGCACGCCGGGAAGCGGCCGTTCATCGACACGCACTTGAAGCAGTCGATGCTGTAAGCTGCACGGAAAAGAAAGCGCCTCTGATTCTCTGCTTTCTCCTGCCCTTATTGCACCTAAGGTGGAGCTGGCGAAGCATCAGTCATGTTAAGTAATAAGCAAAGTAACAGATAATATAGCTTCGGCCGTCTGTTTGTCTTTCTGTCTGTCTGTTCGTCTATCACCAGGCTGTACCTCATGAGCCGTGAGTTAGACAGTTAGACAGTTGAAATTTTCACAGCTTATGTATTTCTGTTGCCGCTATAACAACAAATACTTAAACACTGAATAAAAAAATATTTAAGTGGGGCTCCCATACATCAGACATGATTTTTTTGCTGTTTATAGATTGTATGGTATGGGACCCGTCGAGCGCGAGTCCAACTCGCACTTGTTTATATTGATACAATGCTTGGCAACACCTGACGGGTTGTAGAGGTGGGCGGCGGTAATCGCTTAACATCAGTTGATCTGCCAGCGCGCTTATTCACATTTAGGAAAAAAAAAATAACTCACCTAATGACACGCATAACGCGAAAACTGCAGCCGCGAGGAAGAAACTTCTACGCTGAATCCTCAACGCCATATTGCGGCTCTGAAACATAAAACGCGTTTATGAAATAACCATTTTTTTTACTAATGAAAAACAAAACCGACTTCAAATATTCGGCGCCCAAGATGGGAGGCATCAGCTTTCAAAAAAAAAAAAAATCATCAAAACCGGTACACTCAGTGAAAAGTTCTAAAGGTGACAAACATAAAAAAATATAGTCGAATTGATAAGCTCCTCCGTTTCAAGTCGGTTAAAAAATAGATTACATATGAAAGTATTTTATCTAATGATTATATATGAAAGTATTTATCTCACTAAGAAACCTGTTTAAAGAAATAAAAATATTGACTGTAGCTTCTCAGTAATGTGCATGATGTAAATACTAGGAACAAGCATAAATTAGTTCTACCCTCAACCAGATTGCGTAGAATAAGTAAATCTTTTATGGGACAATGTATCTGCTTTTACAACAAAATCCCGGAAAACATTCAAAATGAATCGGTTGATAAATTAAAAAAACTTGTAAAGGTATGTTTGTGTGTTAAAGGCCATTTATAGTACTAGTGATTATATGAATGATAACACACTCTGGAAATGAATTGATCGCTCCAGACTCTTTCAAGTGGAGTTTAATAGGAGTTTAATAATTCTACACATATTTGTAATTTTTTTGGCAAGTAAAAAAAAAATAATGTCCCGCTGAGTTTCTTACGCCGGTTCTTCTCAGGTCAGTGTCTTACCTTCCGAACCGGTGGTAGAGTTTTTTGACTATCAATAAGTAAGTGAATGCTTCTATATTGAATAAAGATATTTGACTTGACTTTGATCTATTTCAAAAGATAAGACGAAAAGCAAATTAAGAAGCCAGCCGTTATTTTCTGTTATGTTTTTTTTTTGTTATCCTACTCGATAATGTTATTTGTATTCAGATAATGTCATATAGCTCCATCTCATTACCTAAATTTTAAGGCAATTAACATTGCAAACAGTAACCTCAAAAAACAAGATGGCGCTCCCTCGATTTGCTATGAAGAATGGATTTTTCCTCATAAAATCGCGTTTTTTCAGAAAAGTAAATTGATAATGCAAAACCCTATGCAAACCTCTATTAAAATTAAAATTTCAATACTAAAAGTTGGTTTATTTACTGATAGATTGTTCTCCAACTGTTTCAACTTTGAACAAATACAATAATATTACCCACGTTGTAATTATTTATGAAAATAAGAAAATCAACAATAAGCACAACAAAAAATTTAGGGATTTGAACCCAATTCATAAAGAATGATGGTCCTATACACTGTATGTATAGGACTGATAGACCAATCAATCACGAGATAAGACATTGAAATTATGCTTTAAATAAATGAATTAACAACTGTTAATACATACAAATAATTTATAAATACGAAATATGTGAATATGTATTTTTTAGTTTCCTGTTTTCGTAGGTCTAATAAAATTAAAACTCTCAATAATAAATAAATACGAAACATATTTCGTAACGGTTAGCGGGCGATAAGCGGCATAGATCCATCTAGCAAGGCGCCTCAGGGCTCTCTGTTCAACGTGTGGAGTTGGAAGAGGACCGAAACAACGCCGCGGTGGCGCGGTGTTTTGGCCATCGCGTTCGAATTAATTTTAATGAATTAAATTAATATTTACAAATATCTTACTTCAATCAACAAATTAAGACAACAGTCCTTTTTATTAATATATTCTACACCACTTGTTCGCGCCAATTTCGGTGGTGATCCTGGAAGGTGACCGGGCGCTATAGAAGCCTGGAGGTTGCGGTGGCGCATGCGAGAGGACGGCGGACCATTTGTTTGATCCAGGGGCTTATGACGTCATCACAGTACACAATAAAACCATGACGTCTGTAAAACCCTTTATTCTGGATCAAACAAATGGTCCTTCTCTGCCGGATTTGAATTAAAGTGATTCAAGAGCAGTAAGTGTTGGTGACCAGCGCAGTGGAAGTGGTGTTGTCGCTCTTCGATGTGTGCATCGTTTTACTGAGCAGTAGTGATTTACTGCCAGTTAACAATCTTCCAACCTCAAGAGTTTGGAAGGTGACCAGGCGCTATAGAAGCCTGGAGGTTGCGGTGGTGCATGCGAGAGGACGGCGGACCATTTGTTTGATCCAGGGGCTTACACGTCTTCACAGTACACAATAAAACCATGACGTCTGTAAAACCCTTTATTCTGGATCAAACAAATGGTCCTTCTCTGCCGGATTTGAATTAAAGTGATTCAAGAGCAGTAAGTGTTGGTGACCAGCGCAGTGGAAGTGGTGTTGTCGCTCTTCGATGTGTGCATCGTTTTACTGAGCAGTAGTGATTTACTGCCAGTTAACAATCTTCCAACCTCAAGAGTTTTGGAAGGTGACCAGGCGCTATAGAAGCCTGGAGGTTGCGGTGGTGCATGCGAGAGGACGGCGGACCATTTGTTTGATCCAGGGGCTTACACGTCTTCACAGTACACAATAAAACCATGACGTCTGTAAAACCCTTTATTCTGGATCAAACAAATGGTCCCTTCTCTGCCGGATTTGAATTAAGTGATTCAAGAGCAGTAAGTGTTGGAGACCAGCGCAGTGGAAGTGGTGTTGTCGCTCTTCGATGTGTGCATCGTTTTACTGAGCAGTAGTGATTTACTGCCAGTTAACAATCTTCCAACCTCAAGAGTTTGGAAGGTGACCAGGCGCTATAGAAGCCTGGAGGTTGCGGTGGTGCATGCGAGAGGACGGCGGACCATTTGTTTGATCCAGGGGCTTACACGTCTTCACAGTACACAATAAAACCATGACGTCTGTAAAACCCTTTATTCTGGATCAAACAAATGGCCCTTCTCTGCCGGATTTGAATTAAAGTGATTCAAGAGCAGTAAGTGTTGGTGACCAGCGCAGTGGAAGTGGTGTTGTCGCTCTTCGATGTGTGCATCGTTTTACTGAGCAGTAGTGATTTACTGCCAGTTAACAATCTTCCAACCTCAAGAGTTTGGAAGGTGACCAGGCGCTATAGAAGCCTGGAGGTTGCGGTGGTGCATGCGAGAGGACGGCGGACCATTTGTTTGATCCAGGGGCTGTCACGTCTTCACAGTACACAATAAAACCATGACGTCTGTAAAACCCTTTATTCTGGATCAAACAAATGGTCCTTCTCTGCCGGATTTGAATTAAAGTGATTCAAGAGCAGTAAGTGTTGGTGACCAGCGCAGTGGAAGTGGTGTTGTCGCTCTTCGATGTGTGCATCGTTTTACTGAGCAGTAGTGATTTACTGCCAGTTAACAATCTTCCAACCTCAAGAGTTTGGAAGGTGACCAGGCGCTATAGAAGCCTGGAGGTTGCGGTGGTGCATGCGAGAGGACGGCGGACCATTTGTTTGATCCAGGGGCTTACACGTCTTCACAGTACACAATAAAACCATGACGTCTGTAAAACCCTTTATTCTGGATCAAACAAATGGTCCTTCTCTGCCGGATTTAAATTAAAGTGATTCAAGAGCAGTAAGTGTTGGAGACCAGCGCAGTGGAAGTGGTGTTGTCGCTCTTCGATGTGTGCATCGTTTTACTGAGCAGTAGTGATTTACTGCCAGTTAACAATCTTCCAACCTCAAGAGTTTGGAAGGTGACCAGGCGCTATAGAAGCCTGGAGGTTGCGGTGGCGCATGCGAGAGGACAGCGGACCATTTGTTTGATCCAGGGGCTTACGACGTCTTCACAGTACACAATAAAACCATGACGTCTGTAAAACCGTTTATTCTGGATCAAACAAATGGTCCTTCTCTGCCGGATTTGAATTAAAGTGATTCTAGAGCAGTAAGTGTTGGTGACCAGCGCAGTGGAAGTGGTGTTGTCGCTCTTCGATGTGTGCATCGTTCTACTGAGCAGTAGTGATTTACTGCCAGTTAACAATCTTCCAACCTCAAGAGTTTGGAAGGTGACCAGGCGCTATAGAAGCCTGGAGGTTGCGGTGGCGCATGCGAGAGGACGGCGGACCAAGGCGGTGCGTAGGAGGCGTCCACGGAAGTGGAAGGTGGTAGCTGGTTGCTGAGTGCGAAAGAGAGAAGAGGTGCGGTAAGCAGTTGGAGCTGCGAGCGCAGGTTGCGGTCTACGAAGACGGCAGGTTAATATTGTGAAGTGAAACTGTGAGTACAATAATACATATTAGTAGTGGACTTGTGAAATTTAAGAAAATCTCAAACGGGAAGGGAAGACATAGACTTTAAAGTTAAGATTTTGCAATTAGTTGTAGACATAGTTCGTTTATAAGAAAAGTGGTTGAGACGGGGAACCTATGCCGGATTTGCCCCAGAAATTTTAAACTCAAACACTTAGAAAAATTTTCAAAATAAATTTCAATTTATAAATAGCAGTAAAAAAAATATTTAAATAAAATTTAAAGTAGGAATTTTTGTGGGATTAATAACATTAAACATTTTCATTGTATTAAAAAAAAAAAACTTATTTATTTTTTTCGTGTCTGTTGTTTTACTATAAACAGTTTATTTGTATTAAAAGTTACATTTTTTATTGTATCTATCAGTTTTGTGTGTGTTTTAAAATGGAGGCCTTAATTAAATTACAAGAGGACATTTTACCTAGAATTGAAAAGGCGGTTAAAAATTATACGAAATGTCCTAAAGAAAGATTGTCTGAACAATATGTACAAACAAGATTGAGTAACTTAGAAAAATTGTGGTCTGAATTTAGTGATAATCATTCCAATGTTATTCAAATTACGAACAGTAAGGAACTAAATGCATCTTGTTATGTAAAGGATGATATTTATGATGTTGTTAAACAATTTTATGTAGAATATAAGAGTGATTTAATGATCATTTTAGCTAAGTTTAAAAATAATTGCGGTAATAGCTCTAATGAATCGTATTCTACATGTAGATCCACACAAATAAAGTTACCTAAGATAACGATTCCAATGTTTTCTGGTAAATATACGGAGTGGACTACTTTTAAACATTTATTTGTTTGGTTGATTCATGAAAATAATAGTTTAAGTAACGTTCAGAAACTTCATTATTTGAAAAGTGAAGGTGAAGCGGAACAATTGCTTAGACACATTCCGATTACAGATAGTGACTATTTAAGGAGTTGGGAAATATTACAATCGCGTTATAGTAACAAAAAGTTTTTATCGAATCATATTTTAAAGCGTTTTATGAGTCAAAAGAATATTGTAACGGAATCTGCAAGTATGTTGAGAGAATTAATAGATACCTCAAACGACTGTTTAAATGCTCTTACAAATATTGGGGTAGATGTCAGTACATGGGATATTATTGTGATTCATATTTTAACTTTAAAGCTCGATCCCGAGTCCAGAAAACAGTGGGAGCTAAATGTGACAAATATTAATTCGTTTGACGATTTACCTACATATAGGCTCTTTCAAGTGGAGTTTAATAGGAGTCTAAATTGTACACATATTTGTAATTTTTTTGGCAAGTAAAAAAAAAATAATGTCCCGCTGAGTTTCTTACGCCGGTTCTTCTCAGGTCAGTGGCTTACCTTCCGAACCGGTGGTAGAGTTTTTTGACTATCAATAAGTAAGTGAATGCTTCTATATTGAATAAAGATATTTGACTTTGACTTTGACTTTGACTTTGACTATACACAATTTAAAGAGTTTATAACAAATCGGTATAGAGCTCTTGAGTTTTTGGAACCCGGATCGAAAATTTTAGCCAATAGAAATACTAAGTCTGTTGTTACTTAATCAAAACCGAAAGTATTTCATACTTATCAATCAGTTTCATGTCAATATTGTAATGAAAATCATAAGATATATAACTGTAAGAAGTTTGCAAGTCAGGATGTAAACTCTCGACGTAGTTTTGTAGACCAGAATAAGATTTGTTTTTTATGTTTGGGTAACAATCACTCGGCTAAGTTTTGTCGAATAAATTTTTTATGTCACATATGTAGACGTAAACATTACTTCATCCCGTAGGTACAAATGTTGAAAGTTCAAGTAATGTCAAAGAGAGTATTTCAAGGTCTGATGAGTGCATTGTTCGCGAAGAAAATAAACCAACTTCTAGTGCACCCGACTCAAGTCAAGTTGTTACATATTTTTCGTCCAATAAAACTGTAAACAACCAAATGCTATTAGCTACTGCATTGGTGAAAGCAGAAACAGCACAGGGAGATAAAAAGGTTATTAGGGCATTATCAAGGCTCGCAGGCATCATTTATTACGGAAGCTACCGTCCAATACTTAGGTATTAAAAAGTTGCCAATGCACGGCTGTATTTCGGGGTTAGAAGGAAGTAAGAATGTTTCGGTAAAATCTATGGTGAAAATAAAAATGAATTCTAGATTTGATTCAAAAATCACATTTATTGTACAGGCATATGTGCTTAAATCAATTACATCATTTTTACCAACTCAACGGTTATCTTACATGGACTGGGTTGACTTGGATGGAATGACAGAAGAGGAAATCTTTTGTGAAAAGTTTTTTGCTGAAACTACTAAAAGGGACACAGAAGGGCGTTACATTGTACGTCTTCCATTTAAAAAAGATTTTAATAATAACAATTATGTAGATTCAAGAGATATAGCCGAAAAGAGATTAAATTCTTTGCATCGACAATTAAAAAGAAATGAAGACCTGAAAGAGAAATACACAAATGTAATCAATGAATATTTGAAAATGGGTCATATGGAAAAAGTTCCATATAATGAATTAAGAAAGAATAATTCCGTGTACTTACCTCATCATGGTTTAATAAGAAATGACAAAGACACGACGAAGTTCAGAGTCGTTTTTGATGCTTCTTGCAAGGGTCAAACTGGTGTCTCATTAAATGATTACTTGTTGGTCAGACCAAATTTACAACTAGATCTTAGACATTTATTAATGAAATGGAGAAGTTATCCTATTTGTCTATCTGCAGATACATTACAACTTCACGGTTTCAGTGATGCTTCTCAATTTGCATACGCAGCAGTCGTTTACATACGTGTAATTAAAAATAATGGAAATATTCACGTCTCTCTAGTCACTGCAAAGACGAAAGTGGCGCCTATTAAACAGATTTCGATACCATGGCTGGAACTTTGCGGCGCTCTTCTTTTATCAAGACTGCTTGTAGAAGTTGGAGAGTTGACAAGTCACACATGCATGCTTGGACAGACTCATCCATAGTGCTTGCATGGATCAATAGTCATCCAAGGCGTTGGCAAACTTTCGTGGCCAATAGAGTTTCGGAAATATTAACAATATTAGAGTCAAACCACTGGCATCATGTGTCATCTAAGAAGAATCCAGCGGATTGTGCCTCAAGGGGGATGAAACCGTCGGATTTAGTAAATCATAATCTATGGCTTTGTGGTCCGGAATTTCTTTCTGAAAAACTAATACCATATCCTAAAACGATTATAGGAGAAACAAAAATGGAAGAGAAAATAGTACATTTTATTTCAAGAGATGAATCAATCTTAAACAGATTTTCATCTTTAACAAAATTAATTAGGGTTATTGCATATTGTCGCCGGTTTTTAAATATAAGAAAAAGGAAACTTGAAAAAACTTATAATATCAATTTGTCAAGTAAGGAGTTAAATGATTCATTAGATGTGTCCATAAAAATGTGTCAACAGGAAAACTTTAAAGATGAAATACTTAAGTTAAAAAATGATGGTGCAAACTGTAATTTAAGGGGTTGTCTTCGTTCACTTAATCCATTTATTGATGGTAATGGATTATTACGCGTGGGCGGAAGATTGGATCACTCGCAGCTTGACGAAATGCAGAAACATCCGATATTAATACCAAGAAGGGAATTAACGGATTTGATTGTGAGAGACGCTCATTTGAAAACTCTTCATGGTGGCCACCAGCTAATGTTGACGTTCTTGAGTTCAAAACATTTGATACTCGGAGTGAAATCAGCGATTCGGTATCATATTATGAAGTGCGTCAAATGTATTAGATATAAAAATAACATTTCGAACCAACTTATGGATCAATTACCATCTGCTCGAGTCATACCTTCACGTCCATTTAAAAGCAGTGGAGTGGATTATGCACGACCGATAAATATACGGATGGGCAAAGGTCGAGGTCATCATGCACCAAAGGGTTATATTTGCCTTTTCATATGTATGGTTACTAGAGCAATACATATCGAAGTGGTTACTGATCTAACGACTCAAGGATTTTTGGCTGCATTCAAAAGATTTGTTGGGCGAAGAGGTATTTGTTCAGATATTTGGAGTGATAATGCAACTAATGTTGTGGGAGCTTCGCGTGAACTCCAGAATATATTTAATTCGGAGGCCTCAACTATGGTCAACGAAATAAGAGATGTACTGGCGAATAATGGTACAACATGGCCGCCTAATGCGCCTCATTTTGGCGGGTTATGGGAAGCCTAAGTAAAGTCAATAAAATATCATTTGAGGAGGGTTATCGGAGAATCTACTTTGACATATGAAGAATTAACCACAGTTTTAATTCAGATAGAGGCATGTTTAAATTGGAGGCCATTATCACGGATAGATAGTGAATTAGATGCTATTGATATATTAACACCGGGGCATTTTTTAATCGGCGAGCCTCTGGTCACAGTTCCGGATGATAATTATGAATCCTCTAATGTATCTAGTTTGCGTAGTTGGCAATTTACGCAAAAAATTATGCAAAGTTTTTGGATGAATGGAGGAAGATGGTCACAAGAGTACTTGACTAAATTTTTTCATCGATACAAATGGACTTATCAAACCTTGGAACCTAATATAAACGAGGTTGTTTTAGTAAGGGATAAAGATTTACCTCCAAGTAGATGGCCCCTTGGCCGTGTGATTGCTAAACATCCGGGAACCGATAATATTTTTTATTAATGATCATTACGAACACATCCAAGCTTTGCATACTTCCTGTGACACAGTAAATAAGTTAAATTTAAATGTATTTATTGTTTGTTTTTAGTTATAACCTTTTTATTTTACCGGCCCTTATGGTGGGCGGTATCTTAAGGACAAAATAAATTTGCCCTTGGTGGGCGGTATGTTCGCGCCAATTTCGCTAGATGGCGCTATTAGCAGAGCGGTAATATGTAAATCGCGATGTTGAGATTTTTTATGTATTAATGACCTCAGACAGATTTTATTTTTACATTATCCAGAATAAACGGTTTTACAGACGTCGTAAGCCCCTGGATCAAACACCACTGATATTAATTTCATTAAGATTTGTTCATTTACTATATCTATTTTTTTATTTGAATTTCACGTTTAGAGGTAGTTTCATGATTTTTTTCTATCGAGAATATGTTTGGAAAACAATGGTCCATTGGAATGTAAGATCAAGTTTAACATATATTTTTTTTGCTTTTATAAAATGTATAGAATTTGTTAAAAAATCTTTTGAAAACCCTATTTTTACTGCATACAGCGCCTTAACATCGTAATTATATTGTTTTCATGTTCAGCTTATCTCTCAGAGTTAGTAATACAATTATAAATGTATGCGTAATGTTTTGCGATAAAATACGTTGTAGACTATCTAATACTATATACAGTTTATTTCCATGAAATTTATTGTGCATTTCAAGTGATATCGTGAGTTATTCCTTTACAATTGCGTTCGGTTTACTCCCATCATACGGGCCTGTAGTGTCATTGATATTGCCAATGATATAATGATATAATTATATACAAATACGAGGTAGATATGACACCAGCGCACTTACGCCCGGTTTCTGAAACACTGATCATCGCAGACGTCATCTAATCAGCTGTCAAATGGATGTTCAAATGTTATTTCAGTTGCCAAAACGTTTGTTAAACTCCCTGGATTGATCCGAATGATCTTCTTAATGATCAGAATGATCATTTCAAAATTATCTGTGGGTCACACAAATAGTTGTCCCGTGCGGGAATCTAACCGACCGCCCCCGGCGCCGAATCCAATGACTTGGCAACTACGCCACGGTGCAGTTTCTGTATATTTGTTACTGCGGACGAGCAACGATCAATTCACCCCGCCAATTGACTCAATTGACTTGAGGCATCGAAACGGGCAGTGGCGCCGTGTTACGTCACACCGTTGCCAGTCCTCTACGTGGAAAGGGGGCAAGTGAGCAAACGATTCACCTCATGTTGATTTATTACGACCCATGGATATCTATGAAGGGGGTCAATCGACGAATCCAGCTCGGCTGGGCTGCGTTCGGGAAATTGCGCAGCGTCTTTCCGTCCAAAATACCGCAGTCCTTAAAGACGAAAGTCTTTAATCAGTGCGTGCTACCGGCGATGACATACGGTGCCGAGACGTGTGCCTCG